TATGCCCCTGGTAAAACAACAATTTATCATGAACAGAATACCCCAGGTGCAAGCTTGGATCTCTTTTTACTTGCTTGATCAACTCGACACATGTGGTATCTTGAAGAAGGGCCTCTCGAATCTGCTGTAAAATGTCAAAAACCAAGACTGTTAAAGCAAGTACTTTCGGTTCCTCAGTTTCTTCATGCTAGCGAGACAAGGGATCGACGGCAACATTGTCTTTTCCTGGTTTGTAAGTGACGGTAAAATCAAAGCCGAGCAACTTGATAAGGTAGTTGTGTTGTTCGGGTGTCTAGATCACTTGTGAGAGAAGATTTCATAAACTCTACTGATCAGTGCGGATGAGAAAATTACGCCTTAAAAGATATTGATGCCAACGCGTCACAGCCTCTGTTACCGCGAATAACTCTCTCACATATGTGGAAGCTCGTTGCAATCACAGCGACAATTTCTTACTAAAGAAAACAATCGGGTGGCCTTGTTGCATGAGAACAGTCCCTATGCCTGTGCCCGAGGCATCAATTTCAACCACGAACATGTCTTGAAAATTCGATAAGGCCAAAACGGGCGCTTTAGTCATTGCCAATTTTAGATTATCAAAAGCATTATGAGCATCCATGGACCATGTAAACTTGTTCTTCTGCAATAGGGAGGTAAGGGGTGCCGCCAACGTAGCATAAGACTTTACGAAACGCCAATAATACCCTGTTAACCCCAGGAAGCCACGCAATTGTCGTATTGTGCTTGGGATAGGCCAATCGGATATGGCTTGAATCTTTGCTAGGTCAGCTTCTACTCCTTCAGCCGAAACAATATACCTAGGTACTCCAAACGATTGATGCCAAATACACACTTTTCCATTTTAGCAAACAACTGATTTTCCCTCAAACACTGTAGTACCATTGAAAGATGGTGCACATGATCCTCCAGCCCAAGACTGTACACCAAGATGTCGTCAAAGAAAATAATAACAAACTTACGCAGAAACAGACAAAATTCGTCATTCATTGTGCTCTGAAATGTTGCGGGAGCGTTAGTGAGACCAAACAGCATCACCACAAACTCATAATGGCCCTCATGGGTGCAAAAAGCTGCTTTGAAAATGTCATCCTCTGCCATTCTGCTTTGATGCTACCCAGAATGAAGATCAATTTTAGAGAATATAGTCGCACCAAATAATTTGTCTAGAAGCTCATCCACCGTAGGAATGGAAAATTTGTCAGGAATGGTATTTTTATTCAAAGCCCTGTAATCCACATAGAAACGCAATGAACCATCGCGTTTTTTAACCAATAATATCGATGAGGAAAACGGACTTCAACTTAGGCGAATAAACCCGCTATCTAGCATTTCGCGCACCATGCGCTCTAACTCACCCTTCTGAAAATGGGGTTACCGGTATGGCCTAACCTGAACAGGTGGAGCAACAGCAGGAAGAGGAATCCGATGATCACTACGGCGTTGAAGAGACAACTCTGTAGGGATGTTAAAGACTTATCCATATTGTTTTAAAATGCTGTTGATGGCTAGTGCAGGAGCATGATTTTGTAGTTGTGTACAGGACGAAAAGGAACCTAAAATATCAAAACATTGGAAAGATTCATCAATGGAATTCATATTGAACAAACGTTCCAATCGATGGAACTGAATTGGGGTAACGCGTTGAGGTTGTTGGCCTTGCAAAGTCAAAGATTTGCCCTGCCAATCAAAGAAAATGGTTAAAGCCTTGTAATCCATAAGAATAGGACCCAAAGTCGCCAGCCACTGCTCTCCCAAAACAAGATCTATGCCACGGATTGGGGGGGACAAATAAATCCACTGGAAATTCATGGCCATCCAGTTGCAGAGAAGCATTTGCACACACCCCAGAACAACACATGTGATCTCCATTGCCAATCATTACGTTAAAGTTGGTAGAAGCCACTATAGGGAGACCCAAATGAATAGCGACTCTTTCCTGTATGAAATTATGGGTAGAGCCGCCATCAATTAACACTTCTACTTGCTGGCCCTGAAGACGCCCACTCATCCGGATGGTACTTGGATTGCGCTGTCCCAGTAAGGCATGCTGACTAATTGCCGCCATCTCTGGATCCCCTAGATTGTCAGCCTCTTCGTGGTTTCAATCTCAGGTAACATCTCTGTATCCTCTCAACAGTGTGTAAGTATAACTTGAACTTACAGCGATGTCTAGGATGAAAACGTTCCTCACAATTAAAACACAGTCCTTTTTCGCGGCGCACCTAGATTTCAGCTGGGGTTAAACGCTTAATGGGAAGCGAAGTGGTATGCCCATTCGATGAGACCTCTGAATGTCGAAACGGCTATGGTGTGGGTAGAAGGGGCGGTAGCCCGAATGATGGAGTATATCCTGGTCTCTGAGAATCCCAACTACGCGAACCCGCCATACGTAACTGTTGTCTTAATAAACCCAATTTATCCTCTTGAAGCCGAGCCAATCCCATTGCTTGCGTTAAAGAAGTCTACTGAAACGAGCGAACCTCATGCTGAATATCAGATTTGAGTCCCGAAATAAAACAACTAAGGAGAAAGGAATCAGAAACACCTGCAACTTTATTAGACAACTCTTCAAATTGATTCTAATACTCACCAACTGACCCTCTTTGTGAAATCTTGGCTAACTGCCCCTAGTAATCCACAAAAGCCGATGGACCAAATCGAGTTTGTAAATCTTGTAGAAAGGATCGCCATGACCACAGTTGTCCATTGGCGTGCATCCAACGATACCAAGACAAGGCCGGTCTCTCCATATGGAAGGAAGCGATGGTTAAGCGCTGCATATGTGGAGTATCATGATGATCAAAAAATTGTTTAGCCTGAAACTGCCAACCGTTAGGGTTTGTACCATTAAAGCGAGGAACTTCCAACCAAAAAGGCTTGAAAGGAATGTCCCTAAGTTCGTGTGTTGGGATCCTGAAGCAGAAGAAGAAGTAGCATCACCTGTCTGATTACCATTCGTACCTCCTATCAGCGTTTGCGCACTTTGCTGCCTGTCCACGCATTCTGCATCCAAAACAGAAACCTTCCCACCAAGTTCTTTTAAAAATTGCCCCAAGGACTCCAATTGTTCAACCATAGCGGCTTGACTTGTCACCAGTTGACTAACCTGTGCATCAAGAGTTTTCAAACGAGTATCGTCAGCCATTGGACGAAAGCACCAATTGTTATGTAAAGTCTACTCTGTATGAGTGAACAGTACCTCCCAAGAATAAAGAGAAAAAAGAGAGAATAAAGGGAAAGAAGAGATTTTTATTAATTGACTGATAACTCACTTTCCAGACCTCTACTCTATTAAATACCGAGCAAACCACGACTTCCTAATGAAGTTAGGAATCCTATTTAATGTAAACTACAAATAAAACATAATCATCCTTCCTAATACTAAAGAATTCCTACTTAACTACTAGTCTGATCAGAATCCAAAAACAACTAAACTACTTCCATTGCCGCATAATCCTTGGACCACATTGGAGGCTACCAAACTCTTCTTGAAACTCTTCTTTCATTGTCAATCTTGTCATATGCATCTTCCTCCGGTCTCTTAGCATTAACTATTATTTTATTGACGTGTTTATAGAAGATATTTGCTCAAGAGAGATAACTACTCTATAGCTATTGAGAAAAATGAAATTCTAAATCCCTGATTTGGGATGGGAGAATTCTATTTATATTGTTGCATCGGTGGTCTTGCTCATATCTTATCGCATGATTCATGACAAATTGCCTTGATTGGAGACTTAATAGTGAAGCCATCCTCTTATAAGGTGCCACGTAATCTGAATGTCAGCTCTGCTGTGGCCTATGAATCTTACTGTTGAAACAAACTTTAGCAATCTTACAGAGAAAGCCATCCTTTCTTGATATAACATGAGGCCCAAACACTTGCATGGTCACAAGACACGTGGCAGGAGTTTATACACTAATTGTTCAATCATAGGACCCATGTCTAGATTTCATTCCTTGTGAATTTAATGTATAACATAGGTTTTGACTGACCCATTGATACAAACAGATTGAATTTTAGCCCATTGATATAAACAAGTTAAATTTTCTATTATTCCAGACGTATTGTTGATGATATAAAATATTTTATATACTTGTCTTCTGTTGAGAGAATCATAATTATAGTGTTGCATCGGTGGTGGTCTTGCTCATGAAGCAAAGTTCTTATCGGATGACGCCTCACAAATCACCCTGATTGGAAACTTAATAGTGAAACAGTCTTCCGCTCAATTGCGAATCTTACTGTTAAAGCAAACTCTGGCAGTCTTACAAAGAAAGCTATCCTTTCTTGATATAATATGTGGCCCAAAAACTTGCATGGTCACAAGACATGTGGCAAGAGTTTATACTATAATTGCTCAGTCATAGGACACGTATCAATATTTCATTCCTCGCAAATTTAATGTATAACGTAGGTTATTTGGCTAACCCATTGATACAAATAGATTGAATTTTACCCCATTGATATAAACAGGTTGAATTTTCTATTATTCTAGACATATTGTTGATGATATAAAATATTTTACATATTTATCTTCTCTTGATTGAACATTAATTACAAGTTATGGGGGACTAAAAATGAAAAAAAAAAAAATGGATGAATGGTCTAATCACTAAACCATTTTAGAAAAGGTCAAATTGTAATTTATTAAAAAAAAAGCCCTTTTAACTATTTTTTCCTAATTGCTTACCTCTAACCCAGATCGTACTGGGAAGATTAATATCAGAATTTGGATAATTTTTTATTTAAAATTTTAATTAGACATAATCAATTTTATTTGATTGTCGGACATAATTGACACTATTACACATTGTGGATAAACATAGTTTAAAAAACCAAAAAAAAAAAAAAAAATTGGCTTCGTAGAAGCTGCATCCGGAAGGAACGAACAAGCAGCATATTTTGGGCTCAAAAAGAATAAGCCTTTTATTAAACAAATTTAAATGAAAACCGAAATGCAAAACAAACTGCTTTATTAGTTCACCCTCCTGCAGTTTGAACGAATTTGACCCTGATTCCCGGTCAGCACTTTTATGTTGCCCATTTTAGTCATAGAGTTTGCAAAATCAGCAGAGAAAGCGTCTAAATTTTGGCTGTATGTCTTCACGAGTTCATCAGTTGAGCCCCCACTGAGAAGAGCTTGGTCTGATTTAAGAAGCCCCTTCTCCTCCAACAAGTTTGAGAAGTACCCGGTGTCGAAGCGTGCAGGTGTTGGGTCTAATGGAGAAAGGTTGCCGTCTCCTCCTGTACGTGGGCAATTCTCTTGGAGATCTTCTGCAAAGTCGTCGTCGATGTTTGTTTCGTCGTGAATTCTGTCTCTAAAGAAACGACATTTTGCGAAACCAAGAGTGTGACCGCCAGAGAGCGCAACTAAGTCACTCTCGTCTAGTCCTTGATTTTTGAAGTTGTTGATTAGTGCAGGGAGGTCCATGGTTGGCGCTGGGATGTCATTGTCGGCTAAGGTCCGGTTAGCTGTGGTTGAGTCTCTTCTCCCAAGGTGTACGTTCCATGTTGGCCCTCCGAGCTGCCGTTTTTAACATACAATTAGACATAAAAAGAAAAGCAGCAAATTTTCTGCATTTCTCAATTTAATTTCTAATTGATTTTGGTTGGTGAATTCTTTGATGGAGATGAGCATTAAAGAAAAAAACCCGAAACAAAAATGTTAAATAGGCTAGAGCTGGGTTGCTATATACACACCGCAACAACAGAATCACGAGCTGCAACAGCCAAAATGTCTGCACAAGAAACCACAGGACATCCACAAATTTTGTCAACTTCGTTCTTAATCTGGTCAATGACTTCAAATCCTCGGGCCGAATTATTATTCGGGTTTGCATTCTTTTCACTGTCGATGGTGGATGTAGAATCTAGAAGATTTGAGGCATCACAGCCCTACATACATTATAAAGATAAACTACATTAGAATGTATGCAACGAAACTTAATCATAAATCAAAAAATTAAATGCATGGAATGAATAATAAAAATTTAACAGTTTACAGTTGTACTTGAACGAAACAATCATGAAAGTGTAGACGTAGTAACGAAGCACCCATGCGGCGTTCTTTGTTAACAGCAGCTTCCACTACTCGTTTGATGGTTGGCAAAGCTTGGGGACACACGTGCTCATAGTAAGAAGGAGACAATGTTGCTGAGAAAACTGTGGTTGCGAGAGCCAAGATGAGAAAGAAATGAAGCTGGAATGTGCTAGGTGAAACCATTGCCAGTAGTAATATTAGAAACTCTTACAAGTTTTGAGTATGTTGTGGTGTAGTTTTGGTTGCATTTCCGCTTATTTATAGTAATTAATTGAAAGAGATAGAGAAGTCATTAGCTTGGTCAATCTTGGACCCGGCCAACAAAAGTTTCTTCTCAGAAGCTCAAGTTTTACAGCTTGATTAAAAAATGCAACCCGTATTTCTCCATCTGGGGAAGAAATCTATTTCGGTTTACAAAGGTCTTCAATTCGTCCCATTTTAAGTAACCGTGTAATCTAAAAAGGTCAATTAAATTTAAGTACATGGTTAAAAAATAACGTGACAGCGGTAGCTTTATCATTGATTGATTCAAAAGCAGTGAGATATATATATACACATTTGGACTGCTTTGTCAAATGCATTAATTTATTTTTATTTGATTCTGTCATTATCGACAATCTTTTGTACCTGCTCTATGCTCAACAGTATTGTGAAAGGAAGCTTGTTTAAATTGACAATGGGCAGATATATATATATATAAAGGAAAATGATAGTGTTATCGAAAATTACACACTGAATTTGTGTATTGAATGACATGGTAAAATCCTAACCATTGATTAATATTAACTTATAATGAATCAACGGTCAGGATTTCGTCATGTTTTTTGGTGCACAAATTCAATGCACACCCTTCGATAACTATAACATTATTCATATAGAAAAGAGAAGTTGGAGTAGGTATAGCTGCTCTATCAAGTTTCTTCCTTCTATAGATCAATCCATTTTTCGGTTACTCGTACCGATTCATTTACCTGTCGGACCAATTCCAAATTTTATACTTCTAATTTATTGCTCTCCCGGGAAATATAAATCGTGTTCGTAGTGTAATTATGTATGGGTTAAATTATTGTAAAATTCGAACTGCAAAAGGGTATAATCAACAGCTCAAGTTTGATTCCTCGTTAAACGTAAAAATAATATTAATTTTTTTCTATGATTTATATGAGGGGCATAACAATGAGTTATCATGGGATAGCTCTCCCTAAATATTAGTCAAGATACATATAAATTAATCCTAACATATGCACGTAGTCACATATAAACACGTGGGTTTAATTGAATCCACTGAAGTTAATGAAAGAAAAAATAAAAGTCTTTACATTTTATGGAATTTAAATTTGACTCTAATTAAATTCATGTTGACCCCACAAAAATAAATTATTAATTAACACTTTAACTTTTCTCTCTTTCTCATTTTCTCTCATTTTCTCTTATATTATCTTTTTCCTTTGGTGAAATGCTCAAGAAAGGTTACTCCTTTAAATTACAAGATAAAATGATGCTCATTTTTTTTTTTTTAACCTAAAATTCTTTTCTTTTAGCTTTCTTAATTTATGAAAGATCGTAAGCTATAAATTTTTGTTAAGTTTAATAATTGAGTTTGAAATTGGAAAATTAAATCCCTAAATTTTGATATAGGTTTTAATTTAATCTTTGTTTATGTTGAAATATAGGTTAATTAATTATTGTTTTAAGTTGGCTTTGATAAATTTTTGTTAGTTATTGAGTTAATTTTGAATGAGTTTGAAAAATTGATGAAACCTCAAGTTGTAGAGATTTGAAGATTTGATTTAATTTTGATATATATGTTAATTGCTTGATAGTTAGAGTTGGATTTGATTAGTTTTCATGAATTTATGAGTTGAATTTTATTAGGTTAGTATAAATTGTTTGAAAAATCTAAATTATAATATTTGAGACTTTGGTTTATAATTGATATTTTAATCCTATTGACTAAAAATCCTGATTACGTCCCTGTCCAGACACCTCAGTTATTTAAAAAAAAAAAAATTATTGTCAAATTTCTTAATGTATGAATGTAAGTACTAGAACCATATCAACAAGTTTATAGTGTACAGTGTACTGTACTCACAAAAGATGTAACGCTCTTCAATACTACTGTCATTTAATAGAAAAAGAAGTCTACTTGTATAAACCAATTCCACAACCACCTCGGTAGCCAGACAGAACCTGTTCCTATAACTTCGATTTACCGAACGCGTGGCAACTCGACAAAAGACTGGCGGCTGGCGGCTGTCTGGAAGCTATTTAAATTCTTAACAAGGTAATTAAAATTCCAGTGTCCTGATGACGATCAATTCTATTTTACTTTTATACTTTCTCTCTCATTTTTAAAGTTTAAAAGGTCTAAATTTATATCAAACATTCACTTATTGACTTGTATAATTTTCTATAATTTTGACGTGTATGTTGAAATCTATAGGAGATTTAAAATTTTACACAAATGAAGCTTGATGTTGTGGCTTTTTGAGTTATTGCCTGCTTGTAAGGGTGAGATATTTAATTTAGAGACTATATTACACTTACAACACAATCACACAAACTTTTTCTTACAATTTCAACTTGACAACTCGCAATTGATCAGTCTACAATGGGTCTCGTCTGTCTAATAATAGGTCCCATATGTCTAATTGCAAGCTGTCACATTAGAGTTGTAAGAGAAAATTGGTAAAATTAAGTTATAATCTAATCTTCTTTTTTTTTTTTTTTTTTGATAACTGGGGTGTCCAAGCCAGTTTACGACTTATAATCCAATCACACAAATTTTCTCTTACAACTCCAATATAAGAACTCGTAATTTGTCAGTTTATAATGAGTCTCGTCTGTTCAATAATGAGTCACGTTTGTCTAATTACAAACTACCATATCGGAGTTATAAGAAAAATTTGTAAGATTTAAGTATCATCCCATCTTTATTGTTTAATTAAGATAAAGTCTTTTGTAAGAATAATTGCAGTGTAGCAAAAAGAAGATTACACCTATCGGCTTAATATTGACTTGATGGCTGAAAAGAAGAGCCCAGAAAACCATTACGGGTTTACGCACTTCTCTCCAGAAACTAATAAAAAGCAGGCCTATTTCGACCCAACAATCAATCCCAACTAAAAAAATGGGCCTCTATTATGGGCCTAGTAAGAACGTACTCAACGTACGCAAACAAGCATGATAATTACTCTGAACTAATTTTGAAATTAAGCATCGACTTTCTCTATGTAATTCGTGATAAGAGTTTCTTCGACTTACATCAAAGCTGACAGTACAAAATCAAAACACACCATGATTTCCATGCACACTCAATTCAAAAACATTGACAGAAATTTCCTTATTTCCCAAACACAAAATATATAATATCTTTCGGCCTAAACTTAGTTGACTTTCCTGCAGTTGGTCCTAATCTGGCCACTGGATCCAGTGAGTGGACTGAGGTTTCCCATCTTTATCATGGCATTAGCAAAGTCTGTCTTGAAAGTTTGCAAATTGGAGCTATAAGCAGTGACTTGTGAGTCAGTAGAGCCATTATTAAAGAGCTGTTGGTCCGAATGCAAAAGACCCTTTTGGCTCTGCAAATTCTTGAAGTAAGCATTGTCAAAAGATGTCGGGCTCGTGACATCTAGCGGAGAAAGTGTGTTGTCACCACCAGCACTCGGACAATTTCCTTGCAATGATGATGCGTATGAAGAATCGATGTTGGTCTCGTTGTAGATCCTAGTGCGGAAATTTGTGCATCTAGCTTGGCCTATTGTGTGAGATCCTGAAAGAGCCACCAATTCTTTAGCCGTAAACCCTTTGTTTGAGAAAGACTGGATTAGCTGACTGAGGCTCGAAGTTGGGGCGGGGATGTCAGTGTTTGCGGTGCTTAAACTTGCGGTGGTTGAATCTCTCCTGCCCAATTGAACCGTCCAGGTAGAACCCCCCAACTGAAACAAATGTGAGAATTAATTATCATGTGGTAATGGTTAATTATCCGTTGGTTTAAGCAATGTACTGAACAAATTAATCTTACTGCAACAACGGAGTCACGAGCAGCAACGGCTAAAATGTCGGCACACGAAACAACACCAGCGCATGAGCTCTCAAGTTGAGATTTGATGGTATCGATGACCTCAAATCCCCTTACTGAATTTACATTGGGATTTGCTGTTTTCTCTCCTGTGAAAGTTGCTGTATCGTCTAACAAAATCGATGCATCACATCCCTGTTACAGAAACATTAAAAAAAATACGTTAATAAAGTCAACTAAAATATTTGTATAGAGCTTTTCTGTGTGCTTAAAAAGTAAAATCAGAAATATGTACGAAGTAATTTCTCTCTACGACGGTGTTGTAGTCTTCTTTAGAAACAACAGGAGACGTGGTCAGAATAGTGCCAAGCTACAGCCAATTATTCTAATGATATGATGGACACATGCAAAATACAGTTGCACATGGAGTGCAATTAATCATTCAAATTAAAAGTCAATTAAATTCGTTGAAAAATTGTTAACTGATTTGATGTCTTCATAAGAGAAAAAGTGGGTTTAAATCATTTTAATTAGTTGTGGGTGGGTTGGGTTTGGGCTTTGCCTCTTCCAGCATGTAACACTCTTCTTGGGCAGGGCGGCAGGGGTGCTTTCCATACAAGTTACTCAAAAAAAATTAATTTTTTGTTAAACAAAAGTTATTATGCAAGGTGGAAACTGGAAAATTAAAGAACAAAGATTAAAAAATAAATAAAATAACGCGGATTTACAACTATTCTATGGTGGAAAATTATGAGTAATTTTGAGTTTCGGTTGGCTGAATGCGACACATGCAAAAATAAGCAGAGAATATGAAGAAAGATAACGAGAGACAAAAAGACTTGCATTAACAAAGCAGTCATGAAAATGAAGACGGAGCAAGGATGCCCCCATGCGTTTCTCTTTTGCTACAGCAGCGGCCACTGCTGATTTAATGGTGGAAAGAGCTGAAGGACAGGTTGTGGCATAGAAAGTAGAAGATAACTGAGCAGAGGCTGTGCCAATAAGGAACGAGAATAACAAAAACATGAATCTAAACTTAGTTGGCAGTGATGAGGAGGAGTTTTTGGGCGCCATGGCTAAGAAATTAAGAAGGTTCCCTAAGCAAGAGAAGGACGATTAGTATCTTCGGTTCTAGCTAGCTTGGTTTGTAGTTTCAGTACGATATCATGTATATATAGAGAGATTCATCTTGGATTCTTTGATTGAGTCAACGTTATAATAGTTTATTAATAATGAATAAAAGTAGTACAAAATATAAATAAAAATACATTAAATATTATTTATATGTGAAGAAATAGTTTTTAAATAAGATGGAGTCTGCCAGGCTGAAGACGATGACAAAAATATTAAAGAAAGAATCACTCCCACTTACCCATTCAACCTTTTTCTTTTATTTCCTTTTTTAATTTGTTCTTCTTTCTGCCCTCTCTTATCTTAGTTAATAAATTTTCATGTTTTCTTTTACTTTAAGTGGCTAATTTTAATATATATTTTCGGAAGCATTCTTTTTTTTTTGTTTTTTTTTTGTTGATCGAAGTCGTTTGAAGCAGCTTGTACGCACCGTAACTAATCCTTCAAAACCTTGAAATTGACGACCGAATAAATCTCCTCAATAGTCACTCCTATTAGGACTTGTGGGGACTCGAACTCAAGAATCATGTTGAACCTCTTTATTCTTTTACCATCAGACCACCATTTCTCAAAATAATTCTCCAACTAATATCTGCAGTTAAAGATTTATTAGCTTGAAATTTATACCGTGAGAATACGTATGCATTAAGTTTTGCTAAAAGAAGAAAAAGGGTCATTGTAAGTAAAACTAAATAAATAAAGTATTCCCATTAATTGATTTACACATAATAGTATCACTGATTCGTTCAATATCAGAAATACCAGTGTAGATGGTCAGAAAATTTAGATGTGAAACGTAGTTTCATACATGTTTATAGAGATATTCAATGGCATGAAGAAATCTTAGCTTATCATTGTTATTCGAAGCTTCCCAATGAGAGAAAGCTGTGGCTATCACCCGATGACTTATTTTTAAGTGCTTAAAGCGGTGTTTGATATTAGCTGTAATGTAAGTCGGTGGAAACGCGTGTCAAATTCAGTAAGTTGGAAACTCCATCAAGAAGCTATTGCCCGATGCGGTGAAGACAGAAGACTCAGGAGATTCATTTGGGTTTCATCTTATATTAGGAAAACAGAATGTGAACTTTTTTTTTTTTTTTTAAATGATTGAGCTGTTCAGACCAGTTTACGCATAATTTAACTAATTTTTCAGAATTCTAGAATTATCGATCGGGTAAAAACTTCTGTAACTATCCTATTAGCATTCGGGAGGAACACAAACTCAAGATCTCTTAAGTAATACACATAAGAGTGTTTATCGAACAACTCAATCACCTAAAGATAATTACAAAATGTGAACTTTGACTAAATCACATCAGAACAAATCTCTATTTAAAAATTGTTATATATTATAATCAACATTGAGGCTCCGTTGGTTCATTATTCTGATACTTTTTAGAATAACAATTTGACAAAAGTAAAATTGGATGGATATTACGATGTAGGATTTGAAAATTAATTAAAAAACCTCATACGTTTGTTTATTTACTAAACACCCTTATAATAAAATATTAAAAATTAACAAAAATACCCTTAACTCACCCATTAAATATGAACAGCCGGCCACCACCACCAAAGGGTGGCTGGAGTCACCATATCGGCGCATGACCAGCTGGATCTGGCCGATCGTGAGCCGATATGGCCTTTTTCAGCCAAATCCAGGTGGATCTGGTCGAAAAAGGTCAGAACTACTGCTAGATCTGACCGTATTTGGTTGTCAATGACAGCCAAAGATACGGCCGTCGTTCATGGTCAACGACGTCCATATTTTAGCCGTTGTTGACAATTGGCTATGGCCAAAGATCTGGTTGTTAACGGTCAAATCTTTGGTCGTGGATCTGGCCAAAAATGCTAGATCGGTGCACTACCGGTTAGATTTAACCGCTAGTACGCCATTATACCAGATTCTAGCCAACTTCCGGTGGTGGTGGTCGGAATCTGGTAAATATGGGTTGTTGGGGTGTTTTTGTCAATTTTTTTAAAAAATTAGGAGTGTTTAATTAAATTAACAAATTTAGGGGGTTTAAAAAAAATTGAATAATATAGAATAATATTTTGAGAATAAGAGAACCAAAAACCAATTTTCTATTTAACTTTATTGGGAAAATCAGAATATTATTTTAAAGAGTATACTAAACGGAGGCTTATATACTCTAAATAATATTATAAGAATAGTATTGTCAATATATTATCTTAAGATCAATGTATGTTAAGATTATAAGAAAACAATTTCTTTTACTATTTATAAGAAGATAAAGAAAACAAGGGTAATTGAAGAAACAATAGCTCAGCTGATCGATCATAATCACGTCGGCGTTTGTGGCCGACCAACGACAGAGTAAAGCCTAGTGTTCTTTTTGAGTTCTTTTTTCTTCTATTAGGCACACAATGACCAGGACGTAATTAATTAACCAAAGTCAATTGCACAAACAAAGAGCTAACAAATCATCGCTTTATAACTATATGACGCAAAGCCAATCGCCGAGTTCTGTATTTTCTTCCATTTTGTTCAGTTTTTTCTTCGGTTAGGCGTACAGTGATAAGCACCTCATTAATTAATTTGTAACAAAAGTCTATATTACGCTAACAATTCACGAAATTCATCGTTTTCAACAAGTGGGACAAAACCTTTTGATTCTTTTTTGGAGCTTGCATGCTGTGTCTTCTGACTCTGAGAAGGAAACTAAATTTCAACTGGTTGAACATTGTGTGCCTAATAACCAAACACACTGTAGAAGTAGAATCTTGGATATGCAAAACCTTTAAACATTCTGATGCTGACTCCAAATTAGGATGATGCTTATTTATCTATTCAAATTCAGTACAATATTGAAAGCAATATTACTATGTACTAACCTGCAACAGTTACAAGAACTGCAGATAGCGAAATCTACCAAACTAATAATAGAAAATAATTACTATATGGAAGATTTATACATGCTGTTCATTCTCATGATATCATCTTCTATGAGTTGAAAATAATAATAGTTTGGGGGTGATATCTTAATATTTACTGGCCGTTAGTCAAGGTTTTTTACATCACCCTTGTAGCGTGAATGGAATTTCAATAGAGAACAGCCCGTTAGGTCAACTGAAATAAGTATTGCTAGGATCGCACTCAAAATATTATAAAATATTATATATGCTTGGTTCTTAAGTTAGCAATTTACCAAATCTGTAGAGACTTGTCAAAAAAGATTATGCTCTAATTAAGAAAACTGATCATTTGACCCTAATGGTGCTACTTCATGTCATTGACCGTAACACAAACTTTATGAAGCCACCGAATTAAACTACTTGATACTGAAGACAATTGCTCACAAATTAAAGCAGCGACAGATCAACATAATGATAATTAAGATAGTTTAATTTTATTTAGTCAGATTTAGAGGAAACTGACATATGTTAAGTAGTAATTAATTAACATTGTCAGTGTAGCTTTGATGAGTTTAAGGATATTAACAGTTAGAGTAAACGAATTTTTTTTCATCCAAATAATGGTTTAATGATATTTTTCTACCCATAGACTTTTAAAATACCATTTTATTATCCAAATTTATATTCCGTTTCCGATTCCAACATCGTTGCAACCCCACATCATCACTATTCTCTTTCCCGATCATCACTCATCAAAATCACTCAAACTCTACTCCTATCGACCCCGCCAATCACAGACAATTGAGCGATTATGGTTTGCGTAACCGTCCCTCCCAAGTCAAATTCTGATCAATCTTAATCATCAAAATCCAACCTTCTACCACCAAAAAACTCACCGGTCTCCCCTCTTTAAAAGCTCCAATAGTCTGGACTAAGTTTTCTCTTTGTTTGCTATCAAAATATAAATTTGGATAATAAAATAATATTTTTAAAGTTTATGGATAAAAAAGTGTTATTATACCATTATTTGGATGGGGAAGAGTCGTCAACTCTAAAGGGGGCGTTTGGTTCAGGAATGTTAGATTACTGGGAATATTGGATTACTGGAAAGATAGATTACCTTGGAAGATTACTGGGAATCTTTAAGAAAATATGTTTGGTTAGTTGGTGGGTATGTTATATTAATATGTTTGGTTATGGGAATAAATTGGTGGGTATGTTATTTAAATTACTAAATTGACCCTCTTTTAAATATTAATATAATATTATTTTTATTATTAATTTTTGAATANTCTATCCAAATTCAGTACAATATTGAAAGCAATATTACTATGTACTAACCTGCAACAGTTACAAGAACTGCAGATAGCGAAATTTACCAAACTAATAATAGAAAATAATTACCATATGGAAGATTTATACATGCTGTTCATTCTCATGATATCATCTTCTATGAGTTGAAAATAATAATAGTTTGGGGGTGATATCTCTAATATTTACTGGCCGTTAGTCAAGGTTTTTTACATCACCCTTGTAGCGTGAATGGAATTTCAATAGAGAACAGCCCGTTAGGTCAATTGAAATAAGTATTGCTAAGATCGCACTCAAAATATTATAATATATTATATATGCTTGGTTCTTAAGTTAGCAATTTACCAAATCTGTAGAGACTTGTCAAAAAAGATTATGCTCTCATTAAGAAAACTGATCATTGACTCTAATGGTGCTACTTCATGTCATTGACCGTAACACGAACTTCATGAAGCCACCGAATTAAACTACTTTATACTGAAGAAAATTTCTCACAAATTAAAGCAGCGACAGATCAACATAATGATAATTAAGATAGTTTAATTTTATTTAGTCAGATTCGGTGTAGCTTTGATGAGTTTAAGGATATTAACAGTTAGAGTAAACGAATTTTTTTCATCCAAATAATGGTTTAATGACAATTTTCCATCCACAGACTTTTAAAATACCGCTTTATATTAACCAAATTTATATTCCGTTTCCAACATCGTTACGACGCCACACCATCACTATTCTCTTCTCCGATCATCACTCACCAAAATCACTCAAACTCTACTCATGTCAACCCCGCCAATTACGAACAATCGAGTGAT